TCTCTCTCTCTCTCTGTCTCTCTGTCTCTGGTCTTTGTTTCTACCTTTATATCTCTCTGTCTCTGTATTTCTCTCTCTCCCTCTGTCTCTGTGAGTATGTCTGGGTCTGTACTCCTAAAGAGAGCAGTTATACTGGGCAATACAACCCAATGGTCTCCTTTTAACTTGATTGTACCTGCAAGGCCCTCGTCCTTCTGTGTTAGAAGAGATCAGGATTTCAAAGTTTTGAAAGTTTTGCTGGTTAGTTTTGGCCAGCTGACACAAATTAGAGACACCTGGAACAAGGGACCTCAACTGAACTGCCTTCTCTATCAGATTAACCTGTGTGCATGCCTGCAGGGGCATTTTCTTAAGGCCTGATATGGGCGGGCTCACCCCTTGGCAGGTGTTCCTGGGTTATCAAAGGCAAGCTGAGTCAAGAGAGTAGCAAGCCGACTTTCTCTTTGCTGTTTGCTTTAGTAGTTGGGGCCTCCAGGTTTCTGCTTTATCTTCCTGGGTGATGGACTGCAAGCTAGCTGTGTGAGGAAAACTGCACTTTCTTACCCAAATTGCTTCCTGGTCACGGTGTTCTCGCAGCAACAGAAAGCCAAGCTCTACAGAGGGTCATAACTCAACCTGCACCACGGGGTTTAGCTCGGGATGTCGATGTTTCTCTGAATAACTTTTCTGCAAATAACTCATTTTTCTACACACTACACAAAGCAGAAACTCTGTTGTAAACTCTTTCCTTTTGTATGCCTGCTGTGAGTCAGGTGACCCTGAGATAAAAACACAAGAATGGAAAGGTCACAATCCTGTAATCAAGTCAGGAAACCAGGGGAGCTGAAAACGCTGCTGGTATCATATTACTGCATTGTTGGTTCTGGATTGCCCTCAGCAGGCTTCTGACTTCTAGGCTGGCTTGTCATTTAGCCACAGCGAATACGTTTTCTTGCAGCTAACACACTTTTTCTCCCTTTGAGAACAATATCTAAAGAACGAAAGTGAAAATGAACCATCAACCTGTTTGTACTTTGAAGACTGTATTAGTGTTTAAGTATGCCCCGGGTGTGTAACTTTGTATGCAAACATTCTAAAGTCAGTTGTGCTTATTAGCAGTTCAATATGGCATGTCCTCTGAGCTCTGAAGAAGCAGATGACAGCTTTTTAAAAATAGTTAGTATACATTTCAATTCTCCCTCACATACACACCCAGTACAGTTTTGACTGTGAATTTATTATGTAAAGCCTTTGTTATGTTGATGTATGATTTTTTTTTTTTTTTTTTTTTTTTTGGTTTTTCGAGACAGGGTTTCTCTGTGGCTTTGGAGCCTGTCCTGGAACTAGCTCTTGTAGACCAGGCTGGTCTCGAACTCACAGAGATCCGCCTGCCTCTGCCTCCCGAGTGCTGGGATTAAAGGCATGTGCCACCACCGCCCGGCTGATGTATGATCTTTCTGTGCCTGATTTGTTCATGACTTTTATCATGAAGGAATGCTGGGTTTTAACAAACCCTTCGTCTATGACTATTGAGATTGGATTGTGTTCATTCAGCTGAGGTGCTGTACTGTGTCAAACCGTTTTTGCCTCCCTAAAATGAATCAACTTGATCGTGTTGCATTCCTTTTTGATGTTTTACTGAGTTTGATTTGGTAGTAATGTTGCTGGGAATTTTGGCATCTTTTGTTAGGAATATTAGTCTATAGCGACAGTTCTCTGCCTGTGGGTTGCCACCCTTTTGGGGCTCAAATCACCCATTCACAGGGGTTGCCTAAGACCATCAGAAAACCCAGATATTTTACATTAGCATTATGAAATAGCGATGGAAATTTTATGGTTGGGGGTCACCACAACGTGAGGAACTGTAGTAAAAGGTTGAAGCATTAGGAAGGTTGAGAAACCACTCCTCCACAGCTTCCTCTTGTGATTTCTGTGGTTTTAGTAAGAGGGTGGTGCTGGACTAATTTAATAGGTTTAAGGGAATCTCTCTCTTTTAATTGTTGGAAATAGAGGAAAACTGGCCTTAACTGTAGGGATCTTCACTAAGAAACTTCGGGACATTTCCGTTTGAAAGGCAGTTACAGGAACCACAGAAACGGCCTAGTTACCTGGGACACTACTAAGGACAGTGATGTCTAGTCCAGGAGTGGAACTTGGTGTATGTCAAATTCCCGGATTCTGTTGTTCTTCAGTTCCTGTTTCTAAGTTTGCTTGAATTTCACTTACTGTGCATGGCTATCTTGCCTGCATGTGTACATGTGTACCACATGTGTGCCTGGTGCCCGAGGAGGCCAGAAGAGAGCATCAGATACCATGGAACTGGGTTACAGACAGTAGTGTCAACCACCATGTGGGTGCTAGGATTAAATCTGGGTCCTCTAAAAGATCACCCAGTACTCTTAACCGCTTAGCCATCTCTCCATATCTGTGTGTGTGTGTGTGTGCGCGCGCGCACGTGCGTGTGCATGTGTGTATGTGTGTGCACGCACATATGCATGAAAATACTGGTATGACATATTTATAATTGTTGCATGCTAGCTCTTGGGTTTGCGAAATGAAAAAATAGGTTAGAGTTGATGATGATAGGTTGAAAAATAATTTGAGACGCCTGAAACCACCACCAGTATGGTGGCAGGCAGGGCAGACATTAGGCACCAAGGAGGAGAATGTTACAACGAAATGATAGAAATTGAAGGCGAAGCAAGTCTAGTTGGTAAGGCCCAAGCTATGTCTCCACAGCTCCTTTGTTAAACCATAGAATAGAGTTGGACCAGGAGAGCACTAGATAATTCAAATAGAAAGATTTTATAGGCCAATGCTGAAGTCTTCCAGGACCATAAATGAGACCTGTGGATAATGATGTTAAGTGTAGTATTTGGTATAAAAATGAATTCCACATATCTGAAACACTCGCAGGGCAGGCCTGGTCGTGACAGTCTGTAAGCTGCTGTGGGAAGCTGGCAGGCTCGAATGTCAACAGCCCAAGATACAGGAAATGAGATTACACA